GGACCGAAAGTACAGCGGCAAGCCGCATAATAGATAAAAATGGCAGATGATAAAGCAAAAAGAGAGTCTGGGGAATCTCGGGCCTAGGGTCATTTGGCTCCTTGTCGGCGGTATAGTCGCTAAATAGTGTCATTATTAACGGTTTTAAGAGGAGCCTATCCACAAAACAGATCCTAATCGTTCGGAAGACAGAAACGATTTACAAACACCTCACTTCTCGTTTTCAACAGTGTCTTTTTTTAAATTCTTATCTAAAAAGTTCATTTCCAGTTTAACCCGGACCAGGATGGCCGAGTGGTTAAGGCGTTGGACTTAAGTTCCAATGGACGAGTTGTCCGCGTGGGTTCGAACCCCACTCCTGGTATTGTTTTTTAATTTCTGAACATTAATTTACGTTTCAAGTAGGAAGGAAACTTTGTATTTGACTATCTTTCAAATTTTCATTACAGCTGAGAAATGTTTTTTTTTTTAACTTTCAATTTCTTAAAGAAAAATGAGAATCCCGTGTTTGCATGGATAGCGGTATAACATACTCCCCCCACTCCTCCCCCAAAACATAGAAGTGTCTGTCACCCTTCACTATCTTCCTAGAAGTGTCTGACGTATAAGTTGCTCTAAGATGAATTACTTATTTTGCGCAATGTAGGCTACGCACAATAAAAGATTATATACAAATACCAAGAACGAGGAACAGCAGGAAACAGAAGACGTGAACGGGAGTCTGGACCGAAAGTACAGCGGCAAGCCGCATAATAGATAAAAATGGCAGATGATAAAGCAAAAAGAGAGTCTGGGGAATCTCGGGCCTAGGGTCATTTGGCTCCTTGTCGGCGGTATAGTCGCTAAATAGTGTCATTATTAACGGTTTTAAGAGGAGCCTATCCACAAAACAGATCCTAATCGTTCGGAAGACAGAAACGATTTACAAACACCTCACTTCTCGTTTTCAACAGTGTCTTTTTTTAAATTCTTATCTAAAAAGTTCATTTCCAGTTTAACCCGGACCAGGATGGCCGAGTGGTTAAGGCGTTGGACTTAAGTTCAAATGGACGAGTTGTCCGCGTGGGTTCGAACCCCACTCCTGGTAGTTTTTTAATTTCTGAACATTAATTTACGTTTCAAGTAGGAAGGAAACTTTGTATTTGACTATCTTGCAAATTTTCATTATAGCTGGGAAATGTTTTTTTTTTTAAGTTTCAATTTCGTAAAGAAAAATGAGAATCCCGTGTTTGCATGGATAGTGGTATAACATACTCCCCCCACTCCTCCCCCAAAACATAGAAGTGTCTGTCGCCCTTCACTATCTTCCTAGAAGTGTCTGACGTATAAGTTGCTTTAAGATGAATTACTAATTTTGCGCAATGTAGGCTACGCACTACAAAAGATTATATACAAACACCAAGAATGAGCAACAGCAGGGAACGGGGAACTGTGAACGGGAGTCTGGGACCGAAAATACAGCGTCGAGCCGTATAACAGATGAAAATGGCAGATGACAAAACAAAAAGAGAGTCTGAGGAGTCTCGAGCCCACGGTCATTTTGGCTCCTTGTCGGCGGTATGGTCGCCAAATGGTGTCATTATTAACGGTTTTAAAAGGGGCCTATTCACAAAACAGACCTGAATCGTTCGGAAGACTGAAACGATTTCCAGACGCCTCTCTGCTCGTTCCTCGCATTCTCTCATTTTCAATTTTCACCTGAAAAGTTAATTTCGAGTTCAACTCAGACCAGGATGGCCGAGTGGTTAAGGCGTTGGACTTAAGTTCCAATGGACGAATTGTCCGCGTGGGTTCGAACCCCACTCCTGGAAATTTTCACTACAACTAATAAATGTGTTTTTTTTTTAACTTTTAATTTGGAAAGAAAAATGAGAGTCCCGTGTTTGCATGGGTAGCAGTATAACATACTCCCCCCCGCGATCTTTCCCTCAACTCATAGAAGTGTCTGCCTCCCTCCACTATATTAATAGAAGTGTCCGACGTATAAGTTGCTTTAAGATGAATTACTGATTTTGTGCAATATAGGCTATGCACTATAAAGATTAGATGCAAACACCAAGAACGAAGAACAGCAGGGAACGAGGAACCGTGAACGGGAGTCTGGGACCGAAAGTACAGCGCCAATCTGCATAACAGATCAAAATGGCAGATGAGAACACAAAAAGAGAGTCGGAGGAATCTTGAGCCCAGGGTTATTATGGCTCCTTGTCGGCGGTATGGTCGCTAAATTATGTCATTATTAGCGGTTTTAAGAGGGGCCTATTCACAAAACAGATCCTAATCGTTCGGAGGACTGAAACGATTTCCAAACGCCTCACTGACTCCATTCATATCTTTTTCATCTTTTTGATAGAATTTTTTTTTTATTGTATGTCCAGAACGTGAATCAGACACAGAATTTATTGACCTTCCAAATAAACCATTTTAACCTTTTGCAATTACTGTTCCACCCAGTTGAATACAGTCACATCTGTTTCATCTACTCCATCGATAATTTGCGCAATTGTCTGTTCAGAACATGAATAAGAAAAATAGTTGATTGACCTTCGAAATTAGACCATTTCAACCTGAAAATATTTTTCTACCCAATTGATATCGCAAGAATAATTTGGTAGCGTCTTCTTTATATTTTTCGCTGAAGATATTGAACACCTTCTGAAACATAATTGGAGTGGAATCAAGAATGAATATGTTTACGTGGCTCACTTTTTTGAAAACCGACTGAAAGAAAATCTCCATATTTTTTTCTCTCACGCTTTTTTGTCGCAGTTTTTTTGTGTGCGAGCGAAAGAAACCTATAATTCGAGAACTATCTACGTACTTTGTGCGTTTGCGTGGAAACTGCATTTGAAAGATGTGTGCATTTGAAAGATGTGTCTGTCGACTTTTGGCCTGAAAAGTGCTTTCAAACAACTAAAAATTGTCATTTATAGCAACAAGAAAAGCTACGTGGAAGCGTCGGAAGCCAGTTAGTCTCGTAAATGGACGTAAATCAGGAAATATCTCGAGAGGTTCTAGAACAAAGCGGAGCTAATCTCGTTTACTTAACTGTAATCTTTGCGCGCAACTCACATTTTCGCCAAAAATTCAGCCAGAATCAGAGGAAAAAAATAGGTTTTTCTGTCTTTGTTAGAGACACTAAATAATGATAAGCCAAAAATTCATGTCGAACCGGCAGTAAATAAAATTGCGTTCATATATCTGTACACCTAGAAATGTTTTTTTTTTTTTTGTTTTCTCAGTTCCATTATATGTCCCACGATATTTATTCTAAGTACTTTAAAAGTAGAGCCTACTTTAGTGCTTGGTTTTAGACAGGAAATGGAAATTGGATTTCTTCTCAATAGACATCTTGTTGAGTACGTGAAAGTTCTTCCATTGTTTGGTTCTAAGCCTGCTTGACACTTTTCATGAAAATGAACGTTTAGATACGATGAAACGCGGCACTAAATTCACGTGAAGGTGGTTTAAATTTTTTACCAGAGCAAATGAGGGCCATTCTTTCAAAAGTCAAGCCTTGTTTAGATTGCCAAATGTATTTAATGCGGGGCCGCCGGTAGCAACAAACTCTGTCTAATGACGCCTTATTTCACTTTTTTGCTTTCATATACGCGAACTATCGATCGTTTTAGTAGCCATAAAATTCTCACCAGCCGAACAATAGCTAAGATTAAAATCTCCTGTAAAGGCACTGATTATGTCGATTAATAGACTCCAGAACTAAATATGAAAAGAGACAGACCCGAGATAGTGTGAATTATTACAAAAACTCTTAAAAGGTTTATTTTGCTTTGATTTCAATGCATATATCCAGGTGATTTTTTTTTTTATATCCTGGTGTTAAATGCTATTCATATCTATTATTCAGATCTTACTGAAATCGATTTTAAACGAAATAGTTTTTTTGTTATCGCGGCAGCTGAGCAGATCATGAAAAATTAACAACTTCACTGGCAAGAGCTGCTAAGTACTTGGAATGTTTTTTAGCAATGCGGCAAATGTCACGGTCGGAAAACAGCGGGTGAATAATATCTATAACAACAATTGATGTGGAGGAAATATATCAGAACTGACTCGTCGAGGCTGCAATCGTTCGATGAAGTTCCTCTGAAACTAAAGTTAGAAGCGTACAGCATTGTACAGACGAATATTCTGTAGACAAAATGAACACTACAACACTTTTACAATTCAAAGAAGAAAAAGCGTGTTTCAAGGTGGACATTTTCCCGCTGTTCGTTTTTGCTTTCTTGGTCAACGTCCTCGCCCTCATCTCTGTGTTCAAAGCAAAACCAAGAATTTCAACGCCAACTTCAGCCAAGCAAATTCACCTACTCATTTGTTGTCTTGCTGTTGCGGACACTGTATCACTGGGTTTGCAATGTGTGATGCCTGTAGCTTCGTTCCTAAATTGTGGCTGGTGGGGAGGTCGTATTACTTGCGGTCTGTTTGGTTACAACAACGCCATTTTGATTTTGTGGTCAGCCTGGATTGTGTCACTATTGAGCTTTCAAAGATTTTTTGTAACCGCGTTTCCATTTCAGCATCAACGCAGTTTCACGACGAAGAAAATCAAAACTGCTGTGATCTTTATTTTCTTTATGCTTTGCTGTTTCTTCACGCCGCCATTTTTCGGCGTAGGAGAGTTTGTTTACTACGACACAGGTCAGTTTTGCAGCTTGAGTTTAACACCAACGGGAAAATCAGATACGATTTTTCTTGGAATACTCGTCACACAAGGTGTCATTTGCGTGTCAGCAGTCCTCCTTTTCAATGTACACGTTGTAGAATCGTTAAAATCAAGGAGAACACCATTTCATGGAAGCACAAGACGAGCTATGGAAGACTCGACAGCTACTTTCGTGTCATTGACAAAAGCTGTGGCTTTCGTGTTCTGTCTGTGCAACATTCCCTTTTTGGTACGTAAAGTATTTGTATATATATATATATCATGATATAACTGCAGACAGTACTGTTTCGGCCTTCTGGGCCTCATCTATATATATATAATCTGCACGATGCATTCTGTTGGTCTCCAAAGTCGATAAAGGACAACAGTCCCCGAATTTTTCAGCCGATGGTCTACCGACAGTCGACCGATAGAGGTCCGATGCCTCTGTTGACATTTATCTAGACACTGAGAAATCTCCGGCTATCAGTCGAGCGTCGGTCGACCATGCAAAAATTTTCAAATCTTGGCTGCAGCATCTCTTTATCGAAATTTTCCTAAATAATTCCATAAATTTTGTTGGACGTGTACATCTTGCCACAAGTTTATACGTCGAAATCTAGGAATGTCTCCGCAAATTCAAGGCGTGAACTGTAGTGAATTTTGTTCGCCATAACTCTGAGGAGCTCGACATAAAAAAAAAAATCAAAGCTACGATTGTAGTCCTGAACAATTATTCGGTACGTTCCCAGTTAAACAAAACGCACTGCATGACTGAATCGAAGCGAATTCGTTCATCGTGTCATATTCCGAAACCATTCTTAAGGTAAAGTAATTTAACTTATTTAAAGTATGATTAGAGCCCCTGAGGTGAGCATCAGATTGGATATTTCCGACAGGTATTTCTGTCAGGTCATGCTTAATATTTAATTCTTTATACTCTCCCCGCTATCTTCAAATGAAAAACAGAAATAAGACATGTGAAAAAAGAGAAATGAAAAAAAGATGAACATACGTCATTAAGAAATCGGAACGGAGAGAGATGGTGAAGACAAAACGAATTGATAATGACGGGCTAGTAACCGTTAAGCTTCACTTTCTGAGAGACTCGACCTTCACCAGTGGTGGATCTAGTGGAGTATCCGGGGGGGGGGGCTATACCCATCCCTCTGCCAAAAGAACTGTGATCTTTTTTTTAACGCTCGCCTTATAGCGACAGGAATGCATAATGCCACTCAATAAGAAACATCTTATGCTGACTTGCCTTGCAATATTTCTCAACTCACTTGGGCTATGGTGTAAATAATATATTCTCACAGAAACTTTGAACTCCCCCTCCCCTTTATCAAAAAATTACCGGATGCACCTATAGTCACATAGATCTTTTTATAACGAATTCTTAAATTCCTACACCCGGCTATTTCATTACATGCTAAATATTACACCGGGCACACTTACAGTTTCTAACCACTACCAGGCAACTAATATGAGCCATATTTTCCCCACAGATACGTATAGCAGTGGACTTATGTAAACAGACTTCCCACGAAGACCTCGGCTTGGAACATACCCTGACAATGGCCTTGATGTTCTTAAACACTTTGGCAAATCCTTTTGTCTACGTCGCCTGTCGGAGACGCTACAGGCAGAGCCTTTTAAGACTTTTGTGTTTTGGTCAGCGGAAGGACTTAACTCGGGTGTCCGTTTATTTCTGAGGGCACAGGAACACCAAAATCTTGCCACTACCCTCCTAAAAGTAACCAATCAGCGCCGCGTAACAGTTTGACTCGAATGTTCATTTTTGAGGGCACAGGAACACCAAAATCTATCCCCCACTTTGAGATGTCAGATAGAGACTACTGTTTTGTAACAAATAAGACTTTTAACCATCTTCTTCCTGATAGTGCCCAATCAGTAATTTCGCTTATGGAATCGATGTAGTGTCAAATAGGGAGGTAACAAGAATAAAGAAAAATATTAACTTCGGGGTATTCTTCCATTTATTTCCAAATTCTCAAAACCAATCCGAAAGGCAAGCGCGGAATAAGAATAATAATTATAGCTTTTCTTTAGCCGGGTGTAATTTTCATCTTATGAGGCAGGTTTATCTAAATCTTACAAAGAGATTCGATCGCGGATGCGAACTTTTTTCTTGTCTCGTAACAAGGTTTATGGAATGAAAGGCTAACGTCGCCCATCTTTGAAAGGTGTGTGGTTCAGAATTTCGCGAATTAAAATTGGCGAGTACTGTACCTTAGGCATTTCCTTTCAATTAGGTTGCCCATTATTCTTTTTTATCTTCTTTATTATTCCTAAGCTTTGCCCTAAGGACTTCAGAAACTCCGTGATCGACAACGTCTTGTTCCAGAACACACGAGTATAAAGAACTAAATCGGGTGTTCCAAATGCTCTTTACCCAAGGAGGAGAATAAAAGCACCATCTACTCAATTTGGATTCCTTCCTTCATAATAAATTTTAAATTAGTTGAAAACCGTTGGGGTTAGCCTATTCAGAAAGATTTCTGTATTATCCTGAACAAATCCTGGTAAGATTTATGTAAAGCAAAATCAAAGCCGAAGTCCCTTGGCCCATCTATTGTTTTTGCCATAGTTGTCTTTACCCAAGTACTGTATGGGTAATGAAATGTTGACCTGTGCGGAAATCTAACCCAAATCCTTAATCCCAATGAAAATCCCAAAAAATCCCATGAAATCCCAACGGCAAACTATTGTTTTCTTCCTCACATTATTTATTACAGAACCGTTGTGTGGGGCTCTACGGAAATATAGCCGCCAGCTTTGACTGGCGAATTAATTAAATCCTTTCACAATAGTTTAATTTTTGCAAGTCAGTTTGAAAACCAAAAGTAATGTTTTTCCATTCGCATGCAAATCGGTAAAAAACAATGGTTTTCTCTTTCTTTTTGATTCATAATAAGCGTGCAAACGGAACTTTCGGACAAACTCTATGACGTTCAGTCAAGATGACTGGCTGGAATGGGTACTCCATATTCATCAGAAATTTTGGAATTTTCAGAATATCACGCTGTCTGCTGAAGGCTGAAGACGAGTTGTATCGTTTGCGCTGAAGAAAAGTTGGCCTCTGGAAGAAATGAAACGCTCGACTTTACAAAGGACAAAGGAAGCCGTTGTAAAACTAACAGAAGGTGAGCATTTGGTTGTTAAATGTTCACCTGAAATCGCTCGGAAAGCTGAACAATTTGTGGGACCTTAGTCAAACGAGTCAACACGTGGAAATTGTGTTTGGTCTGAGCGGTTCTTCGACTCTGCAAAGCAGAACACTTAATTGGATGTCAAAAAATTTGGACAGAAATTTATCATTATATTTGGGTCCAGCGCTTATGTTGTACTCAAAGTTAGGTTAATTCGGGGTCTTCTCTATGCATTTGAACGTTACCAAGGAAATTTTTGAAGAGAACTTTACCAAATTCCTACTAAAAGACAAATAATGAAATAAGACAAATTTTTCAATTCAAACTTCTTTATGTTATAAGTCCTATTAACCCGTAAACTCTAGGAGCGTTGGCTTCTAATTTATCCTTTCAGTTTTACATCTTAATTCACCGACAGATGTTAAGTTCATGAGAATATTGCGAATGATCACCACCTAAGAGGCTCTAGATTGTCAAACAAATCCTCATTACTATAGAAAATGTAGAGAGGACAAGCGGAAAATATAAATAGTAATGTTAAGGTATAAAACGGTTTAGTAGTATTATCTGGTCTCAGTGCAGACTTGGGAAAGATTTCTGTATAACCCCCTACCAATCAAAAACAAAGCTGT